AAGTTCTTTTTTATATTATATTTATTATTTCTATTTTTAGAAATAGAAAATTTTCTTTAGTTTTTTATTTTTATTTTTATTAGATCTTAAACTTTAGAATCTTTATAAAATAATTATAAGAAATATTTCTTTTAATATAATAAAATTTTAAACTTAAAGAAAACTCTTTTTATTATAAAGTTTATTAGCTTTTTAGAAAATATTAAATATTCTTTATAAAAAGTAATTAAAATAAAATAGTTTTAACTAAAATAGTTTTAATATTATTAGCTATAAAACTTAAAACTTCTAGAAATTAATTATTAAAGTTTATTAAGATTAATTAATATAATAAAAAGTATTTTAAACTAAAAAAAACTTATATATTTAATAATATCTAAAATAATTTTTATTTCTTTTTAGAAAAATATATTTTCTATTTATATTTTATTTTTTTCTTTATATTTATAATTTAAAATATTTATAAGTTAATTAAGAAATTCTTAGTTATTTTTATTTAATTTATAGAAAAAAATAGTTTTTTATATAATACTTTAATTATCCTTAATAACTTTATCTCAGCCTCTAGCTATTCACTATAATTTTTTACCTACTTAGAGCGATAGACCTCTTAATTCTATGCCTCTTAATAATATATATAGCCTTTAGTTATATAATTATAATCTCTAACTATATCTCTCTCCTAACCTCAGCTGCACTTATATATATATATTAGTTAATAACTTCACTATCTTTAACTTCACTTTAGTAATAATATAGTTTATAATTACTTAATTACTATAGACTATTAAACTATTAACCTATCCTCTCTCTCACATATCACCTACGCTACTATTAAACACTATCTCTATTACTACTTTACTATCTACTATTAGTCTTCTTATTTAATTAGGCTAGCTAACACCTTTATAATAGCTATATTATTATTAGTAACGCTCTCTCTATTTAGTGTAAAGCGCACTCACTAATAAGCCCTACTAAGCTTATACTAAGGCTTAGGCTATATTTACCTTAGTATTATAGAGGGTTTATATAAAGAAGGGCTACTCCTTAAGATAGCTAGAGATATATATAGCCTCTACGCTAAGGCTATTAGGTCTTCTTATTACTATAATCGCTTAGTAAATAAGGTCCTCTAGAGGGGTATTATTAAGAGCTCTATCTAATATAACCTTAATAAAGCACTTCTAATTAAAAATAGAGTGTATACTAAACCTAAGGGTTTTATCTAGTATATAGATATTATTCTATATAGTAATATTTCTAGCTATATTCTTAAAAAAGGTATACTTTATATAAGGTTAGTATTTTTATATTCCTTATATAGTGTAGATATTATAAAGGATTTATTATAGGTTAATAAGGAAGAGAAAGAGGGAAGGGTATAAAGCTCTATATATAGTAGCAGAGCTTTTTATACTTCTAACTATAAGAACCTCTTATAATAACCTCTTTAGTTAAGGAGTTATCTCTATTTAGTAGCGTTCACCTCACTAAAAAGTTTAGTAAAGCTATTACTAAGCTATAAGAGCCTTAGTAACCCCTTTAGCCTTAATATAATTAGCCCTACTATATATAGTACTACTAACCTTATATTACGTAGCTAGCGCTATTACTATTCTACTAATCTATTTAGCTAAGGTATATATTTAACTTTATATAAGGTTTACTTACTAGTAGGAATATATAAGGTTTCTATACTGTTTTCCTTAATTAGTAGAGGGTATAAGTTAAAGTGCCTATATAGTATTTCTAGAATTATGCCTATATATAGAGTGAATTTTGCTGTAGTCTTTTTGCAGGGGGGCTATATTATAACTATAAACTTAATAACTTTATCTCTTTAGAAATTATAATATTAAATATTTATATTTTAAAAAGAAATTTAAAAAAAAAGTAATTAAGGATAATAAAATAAAATAGTAAGTTAGTATAAATTTTATAAATAGACTTATTAAAGCTATATATATATAATATAATAAACTTAAAATAAATACTTTTAATAATATAAGAAGTTAATTTATTATAGCTATAGAGATTAATATTAATAATAATATTATAATTAAAATATATAAAATAAATTAAAAGTTAAATTAAAAAAGATATTAGCTTTTATTTATTCTAAGTAATACTTAATATATTTAAAATATTTTTATTTTAAAAATATTTATATTTTATAATATATTTCTATTTTTATTTCTTAAATAGTAGATGTTTATTAATCTTTATTAGAAAAGTTCTAATTAAACTATTTCTTTATTATAGCTATTTTAATATATAATATTCCTATATTTACTTAGATTTATAGTTAGTAGATTTAAATTTATAGTTAAAATAAATTCTTAATATACTTTTAAGCTTTTTAGGTATATAAATTTTAAGAGTAATCTTTTATTACTTTTTTTTTCTTTTTAATATTAAACCTAATTAAATAACCTAAGATATAATTATTATAATAACTTTAAGGATTATTATAATAATATTATAAATATAAATTATAGATATATATTAATAGTAATATTATTTAATTAATTTTCTAATTAAAAAGTATAAATATTTTATAGTAGTTATTTCCTTAATAGATTTTATTTTATTTTTAATTTATTTATAATAAAGAGAGAAAAAGCTATATATTAATAAAGTAAATAAAAGATTTCTCTAATCTTTCTATATAAACTACTACTATATATTATATATAATAATTATAGTTAGTTATTATTACTGTAATAATAATTATTATTTTATATTTACTTATAAAAAGTATATAGTTTATATATTATATCTTCTTTTTAAAATCTACTCTTTTTCTTCTCTATATTGTTTTTCTTCTTTTTAATATATTATTATTCTTAACTTTTTTTTATATTACTTTTTAATATAATATGTTTTATTTCTAACTTTTATTATTATATACTAACTTTTTTTTTTAGTTATATAAAAATATTAAGCTTTATTATATTTATTAGTAAAGATATTATTATAAATATATTTATTATACTTTTTAATTCTTAAAGTAAAAAGTAAATACTTAAAGTTTATATTTAAAGTAGTAGCTATAAGAAAGCTTATAAATTTAAACTTAATAATAAGTTTAATTATTATAATTCTCTCTAATTATTATATTATTAATATTTTAAAGTATATTTAATCTAAGAGATTAAATAGTTCTAAGTAATAATAAATAACTTAATCCTTAAAGCTATATATACTTAATTTATTAAAGAAGTTTTTAATATTTCTTTTTTTAAGTTTATAATTAAGTATTCTTTTATTAATACTCTTAAAACTATTTATTATTCTTTTAAGGATTTTCTAGCTATAATTTTTATTAATATATTTCTCTTACTTTTCTTTTTAATTCTTATTAATTAGTTTCTAATAATAAATTATATAGTTTTATATACTTATTATATTACTATTAATATTACTAACTTTATACTTATTAAATAACTATATTTAATATCTTAAAGTCTTAAAACTACTTAGCTAAATATAAGACATAATAATATTTTTAATAATAAATTTATCATTTTCTATTTAGTTTTTTTTTATTAATATTTCTTAAGTTTAGTAAAAGAATATTATAACTAACTAGAAAAAATAAAAAGTATTATTATAAAAGCTTTTATAGATTACTTTATTTTTAAGCTTAAAAAATATAAATACTAATAAATTAATATTAATAAAGAAAAGCTTAATAAATAATAAAAACTTTTAAATATTATTATTAAATTAAATAGTAATACTTTTAATAATAAGGATATTCTTATAAACCTAACTTTTATTTAATCTAAAATAATAAGTAACTTAAATATTAACTAAAGAAATTAAAATTAAAAATATATTAACTTTAAAAATAATATTATAAGAAATCTTTATATTAATAATACTATTAAAAGTATTTTTAGTTTAAATAAAATAGATTTTAAAAACTTTTTTTTATTAATTTAGCTATAAAAAACTCTTTAGAAGAAGATATTACTTTATTTAAATATAATTATAAAGATATTATTTTTTAGAATAATAATATAAATAATATTATTTTAAAAGATTTAAACTAATAAAATACTAATCTTTAAACTATAAACTTTTAAAATATAACCTTCTAAGATATTATTTTAAAAGATATTAATTAGTAAATAAATAATTAAGAGGATATTATCCTCTAAAATAATAACTTTAAGAATACTATTTTAAAAGATTTAAATTAAGAGAATAATACTCTTAAAATTAATAACTATATTAATACTTCTATTAAGAATAATAGCTTATAAAAATCTACTTCTAAGAATATTTTATATAATTCTATAAATAATAATTATAATAAAAATATAACTATTACTTTATAATAAAAGTATATTTCTCTTTTTAAAAAAAAGCTTAAAGAAGTATTTAATAATTATAGCTTAAATAGATAATTCTTTTCTTAAAAAATAATAATAAAATAAATAATATAGTTTAAATAGAATAATAAAATATTAGAAATAAAATAGCTTTAATAAGAAAACTAGTTTTTATTTTATATTAGAGATAAATATAATAATAATAGATAAAAGATAAATATAAAATTTTAATATAACTTATTTAATTATTATAAGTAGATTATTATAAGTAAATTATTATAAATAGATTATTATAAATTAAGTTAACTATATACTTATTAAGTATTTTACTATTAAACTTTAATACTTATAACTTATAAATATAAGTAAAGTTTTAACCTATACTTAGCTTTATTTCTACCTATATACCTAATAAACCTATCTATTTATATTCTAGGTATACTTATAACTTAACCTATTTAGGTAAGTACCTATAGGTATCTATAGTATAGGTAATTTAAAGCTTATCTCTGTTGTTATCTCTCTCGCTATCTCTGTCGTTTCTGTCGTCTTCTGCATCTCGCGCTGTCTAGCTTTCTTCTTAGCTAACCTTTTGCGTCAAGCTTCCTAGAAACAGTCTGTATCATAATCAAAATCGAAATTGAAGTGTTTAGGCTCTCACCCTGCGGCCATCGCCCAGCCCGTGATCAGCAGAAACTGCAACATCAGGATATCCTGGTCTGGCAGATCGAGCTTGTGCTCCGCCTTTATAGTGACAATCTCCCCATCAGGAGGGCCGCAGGGCATTCGAAAATGAACCGGAAGGAGAGTACATGGATCCGTATAGGGACTAATTTCCTTCATATGCTCCATTTTCAAGCTCCGGATCTGCCTCATCCAGTGAAAGCGTATTTTCTGGCACCACAAGCCGCCCGTGTCGACCTTCAGTCTCTTTGTACGAGGCTCGTCCTGCCTGGTTGACTCTGGCGATGTTTCAGCGGTCGAAGAAGCTTGTACGCTGCCTTCTTCGTCATGGTCAACGGTCTTCTCCTGGTATGGCCCGCCCACGGGCTCCAGGGCAAGCCGCCCTTCGCACCAGTACTCCCGGAGCCGGGCGTCTATGCAGATTAGATTACGAGTTGTGTCAATGATGAGGTCTCCACAACACAGCTTTAGAGCAACACGCGTTTCGAGCTCCTCTCCAAGCCATGCTTTCATTTCATTTAATTCCCTGAAGAAATTTAAAAGCTGTGGGAGAAGAGAATGCGGAATTATGTGGCACGCTTGAGGGTTTGGCGTCCCCAAAAAGACGCAACTTCCATTGTCACGAGTAAAAGCCTATGTAAAAAAGGTCAGGGGTGCAAACGTATCAGGCACGAAAGACTTACGTTCTTCATCACAGTGTGATTACGGCGGACCCTAGGCTCGGTGGGTCGAGTGCGCTTCGTTGCTGGAAACAGCCCACTGCAACTTTCCCACTCATTCTCAACATCGTCATCTTCATCTTCATCGTCATCTATTCCGTCTTCGCTATCGTCGCTGTCTATTCCATTCGTGTCGTCGTCATCGTCATTTCCGTCATTGTCGTCACAGCTCTCTTCGTCATCCTCCTTGTCTTCGATATGACCTCTCTGGACTAGGATTACAATTAGTATAAAGTTTTCACTGAGTCAAGAGGACACTTACATGCTTTCAGCGCTCTCCTAAATGCTTCTGGGAAGCTGGCAGAAAATTTCAAGGGACAACTCGAAAGATTCCCTTCATCAATACCACTCAATACCCCTTGCAGATCTTTCCGCATCTCCTGTAACTGTTCAACGGGAGATCGATGAAGCATGCTCCACAAAGCCACGGACACCCTTTCGCGAGGTGCCCCTCTAGTTCTCTCGTCGCAGGTCTCAAGAAGTCCGAAGATTTCGTCGACTAAAGGCTTCCTTAGCTCCATTTTGCAGGAATTGGGGAGCAGCTTGACTTCAAAAGAATAGGCAGAGACGGGAAATAAACAAAGAAACGATGTAGATGTTGACGACAGATACCTTAAATTTGAACATGAATGTGGAGAATACATCGCAGGTCCCCATAACTTCGAACTTTATTTATGGCGTGAGCTTGATGAGAAGCGGCCGAAAGTATGATGCTCACAAGCAGGACAGCAAGGTTCGCCCCTCTTAGCTGCGGCGATTAAACCGAGGTGGGCGCTCAGTGGTCAGCACGGTTCTTGGGCAGGTTGGAGGCAAACCGTATTGAGGGCCAGGTTGGGCATGATACACTGTTCAGCTGAAGGAAAGCAAAAGGAATACAAGTCAACTCAAAATGAGTTCTAACATGCATACTATGCGTTAGGTTGTAGCGAGAACCGTAATCACCTGGAAGCTTAGGGGGGACATTGCGGAAGGGCCACCACATTGAGATAGCTGGAAGATTGGAAAATAACCATAGCCAATGGTGTGTGGTATTATTAGATGTAATGTTAATGACAATAAACTTCTTCGCAATCATAAATGACATCGCCTTCCCGGATGGGGTTCTTGCTGCTTCACCCACGAGTCCCTTATCGGAGACCAGCCAGGACTATGGACTGCCGGAGGCATTGTGGGTGACTCAACTACCGCGCAATAGTGCACGGTGATCTGATGCATTTCGTGGCCATTTGCATCACGCTCTTCGTCGTGAAGCCTTCGGCGCCACTTTTCCGCGGACCCGATTGTCGGCGGAGAAGTGCTATCGGCCGCACTTGAATCCGCGTTCTCCGTCATCGAGGGAAGTAAGCGGCGGAGCACCGGTACGCAGCCGCAGATGATGGCAAGGTTGGCCTCCAAAGCTGTCCAGATCCAAAGCTCGAAGCCGTCCCATGTGACATCGTACGTCATCTCCTCGACGTAGTACGTCCACCACGTCCTCATGATACCCGCCACAACTACTACTGTGCCGAGGCTGAAGAGAATGATCAAGACGATTCTTTGGAGGACAGGAAGCCTAAGTCGGAAGAGTGTGGGCATCGGGAGGAGGTAGACGATGATGTCGGTGATTACGGTTGTGATGGTTTGTCCTGCTAACGGTGGCCATTCTGCCATGCAGTTGCGGTCTAGGACTGTGAGGTCCCAGTAATGCCAAATGGGACTGGAGTTTCACCATATTAGATTGGACCCAACAAATATGTATCCAAATGCTTCGCTTACATGCATTGTGTCCAAAGTACCATGAGAAAGATGATAATGAGGGCAAGTACCGCTCCAATAGTGACTTGCGTGACTCGCTGGAAGGTGGACCCGAGGGGGGCTATTCTCAGGTAGCTCGTAAGAATAGAAAGCTTTGAGAGACCAGACGCAAAAATAAAGAGTGTTTGTCCCACGATCGAAATCTGAGCGAGAGCTGTCAGCACCAGGATTCAAAGTCACACGTCTGGGCTTGCACTTCTTACTTGACGGCCCTGCATACGCTGAACGAATGTCGTGTCCCATATATGGAGGTTCCATCCATATAATTGGGTGGCTGCGTTGAAAAGTGTCAGTCATCGGTATGAGATATTCTTTGCATGAAGCCCGTACCTAGAATGACACAAATGGTCACAGATATTGAGAAAATCTGTACTTGTATGTCAGCGTTGAAGCGTGGAGCGGAGCAGTCCACATACAGCAGCGCCAACCATAAGCCAATCGTCCCACCAACTCTTCCGCATCATGAATATTCTCACATACAGCCTGAGCAGCAGGCAGATGAGAGCAAAGCTGAGTGAGATGCTCTCGATGATGAGGAGGGCCGGCCCTCTCTCTTCGGGATCAACGTGATTTGGTGGCGGCCATGACTTGACAACTTCGGGCGGTGGGAATCTCATGTTGTGCGGTGTTCAGGTTGTTGTCCACTCCTTTCGAGCCCCGTCATAATCTGATGAGTTGTGGAGGCCGAGTTCGTATCTGGAGGACACCTACCACCGTGAATATCTGGAGGTGGAGAGTCGCAGTGGAGAGAGACGCCAGGATGAGGTCTCTGTCGAGTTTTATCTCATTCCCATGGATGGCTCAGATACATATTTGATCCCAAAGAAACCCCTGTTTCTTCAAGCATCAGGGCAAGACAATACAAGGAGTGTTTCTGCAACGCTACCGGCCGCTAGAGCTTAAACCCACCGGGGCAAACCCACCACGCTTGTCTGTATCAATATGGCGGACGAGCGCATCGTGTTTGACGCTTCGCAACTGGCGGTCTAACTGCCGCGCGACTAACCGCTTTTCTTCACCTGTCTCAGGAAGAGTCTGAACAAAGAAGTGAAGGCGTCACGGGCAAGGAGATTTCACAGACTTCTACGTTGTATCACGATTCCGTAATAGTGGGGTGGGCAATTCGTGGGCTTGTCTAACTTGAGTCAAAGTCACGGAGCTATTTCAGTTGGAGGAGGCGCTAGTGGACGCCATTCACCTGTACCGACACCGTCCCGTCATGACCCTGCGTGAGCTAAAGAGACGATCGAGCCCTGATTGAGATGGCGCCGCACAAAGATCGCTCAAATTTTGCAGGATCAAGAAGCTCTTAGAATGTCAGACGTTAGGTGACAGCTAATTAAGGCGACGGCTTGGAAGGTTCTGTCAAGACGTTGACAAGCTGGGAATGTCTCACTCCCTCGCCTTATCATGAAATATGTCCATGTCAATACAAATGTAGAAAACCATGCTGAAGAAGCGAAATGCTTAACGAGAATGTGAGACAATTGTCTAATCACATGCTCCCCAGCCCCTCTTGGGCACCGATGATCGCCCGGGGCCTCCTCCGCGATGTTCCACTCCAGTTCGGCATCTCGAGAGCTCTCCACTGATCGACACCAGGAAATCTTCATAGGGCAGGAAACCCGCGAAACTAGTTATCCTCGTTTTGGACCGTCAAAGCTGCGAAAATACAGGGAGCTCCGGTCATCCGAACGATTGTGCTCCGAGGCTTTGGCAATGGAATTTCAGAGTCAGAAATCTCACGTGGAAGGCTGAGGCATGACAAAGGGGCGATCGCCGCTGTTTGGATTCCGCCCTTTGCTACAACGACTCGCGGCCATCGAGTCGTAAGGCAGCGGGAGCAAAAACGTCCCGTCCGCCCTTCCGTCCTGCCGTACACAAATGCCGCTACCGTTGGGCATCGCCAAAGTGCCCATGTGGGACTTGTGGCTTCGACCATCCTACTCATGAACGGCCTTGGCCAGAGTGTGCTCCTGCCACTGAGGCTTGGCTCCACGATGAACAACTCAAATTCCGTCGTGGTCTCGAAGAATGCCTTTTACAGAATAGCGGGTTGCTTTTTGAGTTTGCCCTCGATCAAGGGCTCTTTCTCGCTGGCATGCTCGGCACAACGGCTCAGCCCCTTTCCGGTTGCGGCGCAGAGTTGATTACGAGTCTACAATGCGCTCAAGGGCGCAATTACCTCTTCGCACGCAACGATTCAGGTTTTCGTAATTCCAAAGTAGCATTGACCATATGTTATCTTGTTGGCAGCACTAACGGTAGTTTTGGTTCATTCCACTCAACGCCTCCCACAGAGCCTGATCTTCGTCACTTCTCCCATCGCAGCCATCAGGGTTCACACATCCGATCCACGCCCGGTATTCGGGCTCACAGACCGTGTCGATCTCCGGGAGAGTCCCGTCTTGGAAGTATGCCCGAACAGCCTTACCGGTACAAATCGACGGGGAGGCATGCAAGCCGTGGCCTTCCGTGTTTTGGTGGAGAACAACCGATCCGGGGAACAAGGTGGATACTCGACGAGCGCTTTGACAGGAGTTAGCACCATCACAGGGTAAAGACACATCGACGGACGTCTTACTTTCTTAGTGGCGTTACGGGATCATACGTGTTGCCAATTATAAGAAGTGGGTATGAGGTGTTTGCCGTCCACGGGCCTATCGTTGAGTCAGAGAAACGTTCTATGAGGCAAGAAATCTCGATGTCGTACGTACCCTCAACTCTCCAAGCTGGTCTTGCTTGCCAGTTTATACAGAGCATGCGGTGTCCGCTCCAGGCTGCTCCTAAAACATCGCTCTGGCCCCGAACCTCCTTGAAATATTCTCGAAATTCTGCCTTGCTCGTGTTTCTTAGGTCCGGGCCATCGCCACAGGCAATAGCTGCAAAGAATCCACTAGGCCCCTGGTCCCTCACACAAGCGGCGGAGTACGACCCATCCTTGATGCAGTCAGCGTTGAGAGATAAAGGGGTCAAGTCCCCTTCCATCTTAAGAGCAGCTGTTGAGGTTCCGTTGCGATCCAGAAGAAGGTCACTGAACAGCTCAAAATAGGGCTCAACCAGCTTTTGATCGTACACAGAATCGGCAAAGAGTTGCATGATATCAGCGTAGTCGATGACAGTTGGGCCATGCTCAGCGGTGCCAAGAACTGGAATGGGCTCTTCAAGCAAAGAATTCGCTAGGCGGGCCAGTCGCGCGTTGATGATACTTGACGGAGTGTGAGGAGACGCAAGAGGGCAAGCTTCCGGTGCCTGGTTGCAGTAGCTTGCCCATTGTTGGAGGATCTGGTCAGTATCTTGCAGGTTCTTCAACCAGTCCGCGGAATAGTAATCGTCAGGGTCTACAACCCCATCTATCAACACCCGAGATACGCGGTCGGGGTGCATCACTGAGAATGTCTGTCCAAGGATCGTGCCGTATGACACACCCCAGTAGTTCAGTTTCTCTGACCCCTTCTGCCAGCGTGTTTTATCTAGAATTCGCTCACGATCTGACTCTGAAAACTTGGAGCCGTTACATGAGCTGATGATACGCTGAGCTTCAACCTCTCGCCATTCGGCATGTCGTTCAATCATCGCAACGATATCTTCGACGACCTGGGCAGTGTTGGCGAATTCGGCCATGTTTGGCTCATCGCCTCGTCGAATAGCACAACTCTCGCCAAAGGCACGGTAGTTTGCCCAGGCAAGGTCGATGTAAGTGTTAGAGATCCCGAAGAGAAAATCACTTGGCTGTCGTGCCAGAAAATTCAACTCGGACTGCTTATTTGGGAAGCACGTCAGGTGAGGCGTGGTATTGTTAACAGCACGCGCGTCAAACCCGATGATGTCGAAATATTTGCCATCCGAAAGACCATCCGGGGCAAAAGCAGGATGTGCCGCATCCACAATGGTCTGCATGTGGCGCCCTTTGCGGAGCACTTGACCGACGCCGGAGTTTCCGGGGCCGCCGGGATTCAAGACAATGGCGCCGCCGTAGCGGGGGTCCGTGACGGGTACCTTTGCCGGGACCTTGATCACGGCGATGGCCGCCCTCGTCGGGTTCGCAGTGTCATTCCAGTTAATTGGGACCGACAGACGGGCGCATTGATAACCGTCGAAGCAGGGATGGTAGACGAATTGCTCCTGGGGCACAATCTATAAAGCGATTGGATGTCATCATCCAGTTCGGACTCGCACCTCAGCTGAATGTGGGTTCTCAATGTCAGACGCACCTGGAGCCAATCGAACTCTGGATCAGCCAATGGTGAGGATGGCAAACTTGGCGGCCTGTCGGCGAGCGAGATGAAGGACGGAAACGAGAAATAAAAAATGAGTCCAGATGCGATAGCGGCAATCCTGATCGCATTCTTCTTCCGGGGGCGAGGTTGATGGGCGTGTCTAGGCTCGTCGGCCAGGCCAAGGCCAAATGGGGAGGACTTGTCCATTACACTTGTGTCGAGCAATTACTCGTGCAACAGGCCAAGAAGCCAAGAAATGGTCGAGAGAAATGTTGCTGAGACGTGAGGGTCAGAGTAGAATTTAACAGGCGTTTCGGACGCCGGTGAGTGCGCGCAATGGATTACCAGAACAGGCAGGTCGTGTTGATTCATGGTCAAGTAGTAAGGCGGCGTGCGCCTGTAGCGCCGTTGTTAGCAGGCGTGTAAGCGACGCGGATGAATTGCTGCCAGTACCCTCAGCGAGCTTGGTTGTGCTTAAAGACCAGTGGAATAAGCGAAGCAGTGTCTGACATATGCGACACTGAAGCAGAATCCTTCAATGCTGTGAAGGCATCCGATGTAGCCGATGATCAGCCTGGCCATTGGTTTGTCGGCAACGAATCTAAATCTTACTCTGAACATAGGATGTGAGAGATTAGAGCGTCAGCAAGAGAGGGAGACAGGTGCTGTCGTATTGGAGGACAGGCTTAAAATGTAGAAGACTGGTGCTATTGCAGACCGGTAATAAAACGGAAAGACGGATGTTCAGTACTCTGTATGATCCCCACCGCAGCTGAATGCACGGTGGACCTAATTGAAGTCGTTGTCTGGCATGGTCGACACCGTCTGGAGAGTGCTATTCACATTTTAATTCAAGACCGAATACTACTGAAGGTCGATGGAATACAGAAGACAGCATGCAAATGCTAACTGTTGCCGCTCAAGCCAGTACCCCCTCAGCTTACTCAAGCTCTACGACTTTGAGAAACACGCACTCAACAAACACATACGTATCGTCTTCACACAAGGAAATCACAGTGCCTCGTCTGTTGTGAATTCTCCGTGGTGGCTAGAACACCGTTTTTCTTCTTCATACGTTCCCACCCAGTCACGCTACTGGGCGCTAGGTAGCGCTAGGTGAATAGGTCACGAGGGCACGAGGGACGACAAAGGGGCATCCAACGAATGTCTGCTGTGCCCATTTGCGAATAACGGCCCTTCTATCCGTCTAATCTAGTAGGGCTGGCTCTTCATGTCAACTTTAGAGGCAGACGCAAACACGTGGAATTGCAAGCTTTCGTGTCACTATCTGGTATCAATGAGTGACCCGGTAATCCCCTCCGCAGACCCTCCTGTTTTTCTTTTCATTTAGGCATAGCCAAGAGTGTTCATCGGATAGTTAAGTCCGAGCAGACTTATCGCGTCCGAGACCATGACCGGGGAACAGGCGGCCGACGCGCGCTCTGCCCCCAGAGCGATCAATGCAATGTGATGAGAATGACGAATAAGAAGGGCATCCCCTGGCGTCTGCTTGGGCAACAGAGTTGCGGCCCCCAAAAAAGGACAGGGCTGAGCTGCTAGCGCTTACTTTCATTACCGCGCCCACTAATTAGGTGTTTAGCTTTCCCGGTCTGTGGTCTCCCGCTTCTAATTTTCGAGTGGCGGCCACCGCCCTCGCGCTGTGTGTCCAAGAGTTTTGTTTCAATCCTGCTGGCCTCTTTCTATCTTGCCGAGTGAGGTGATTGCTGCTGGGCTGCTCAGTCACACAGACTAAGCTGGAAAGTTTGACTCCAGGCGAAGGATTCTGAGTTTTGCGTCGGTCGTGGACTCGCGCGTTTCTTGGGGCTTACCGCTGAGGCTGGAGATGTTGGATTCTGTGTGTTTGTCATGGGCTACTCCGTCTCTATCACAGGCATCGCGTAAATCCTTGCTTCTTGAAGCCCAGTCAACCCACATTAGAATGACGCCCAGATCTGCCAAGCGCTGCCGGTAGAGCTGTGGGTCGAAGGATTCTGTGAAATGGGGCCCTCGGTCTCGCGGCCTGGCAGTCACGCAGTTTCTGTCCAGCGTCCAGTCTTGTTCTGTCTCACCTCAACGGAACTTTGGTGAGCTTGGTGTGCTTGACATGCTGTATGATGTTCTTTTCCTCATGGGTTTGCGACAGGCTGCCACAGCGTTGTACCCAGCTCTCCGTCGACCAATGATACAGCATCTCGCTGCTGCGAAGCCACCTCACTTGGCGATGATCCTTCAGAAGATGAGCGGGAGGCGTTAAGGGGCTGAGTGTCAAACAGCCAGTCTCAGCCCACGACGGTGAAGCTAAAGGCTGCTAAGCTGTGCCTGTCCCTCCACATTCAAGCCCATCCCGCTCCTCCAAAGGCTGCAGCCCGACGTGGTGTAGCCCATCTCACCCCTTGCCGCGCATGGCTGCTCACCTTTAAGATTGGGGTCGGCACTTTCGACTAAGACCCCTGTCACGTTTGCCTGGTTCTTCGTCCTTTTGATCCTTCTATCCCCCTTCCGCATTCCACTGTCTTTCTTCCCAGTGAATTCCTTCCGGTCTTTCCTTGATTGATCGACCTGTCGCATCGAACGATCCTCGAAAATCTGCATTCTGGCAGTGGGCTTAGCGACGATATCGCCGACCAGAACTCAGGGCTATTTTGATCAGCTAAGCTGCAGCAACGAGGGGCCATCTCAACTTCACGATAACCACGAGCGCCGAGAGATTAGCAGGTGAAAATGGTGGCCGCAAAGTTGGACGCGAACGCGTGGTACCAAGTGTCAGAGACGCGAGTCACGAATGTATCGGCGCCGATCAACAACAACTTGCAAACTACGAATGCAGGTCTTCGAGTTTTCGCAAAAACAGCGCAAGCATGGCAATTTCAACCTTTCGGAGATGTAGAAGGACGCTATCTTGCGAGGTTGAACACTTCAGGTGTCGGACAACAGCTTTCAGTGTGTTACAAGGAGGATGAGGTGCACCCAAGCAGGACCATCGGTTGCCTGAGGAGAACGGAATCAGACGAGTCTCAGCAATGGGATATCAGCGAATGGGGTAAGCTTGGCCTTTGTGAAAACGGAACGGGGAGAGCAACCAGCTGACGGAATACGCACAGGTGATGGCTCATACAAGTTCACCAATGTGGGCAACGGCTCAAATTACGTGCTGGATGTTCACCCAGGATCCAACCTGTTCATGTCCAGCGAAATCGAAGGAAGCGATGGTGTTTCTGGCAAGCAGGTTGCCCAGCATTGGGTCATGACGAGTGAACGTCCTGTTGACGATGGCGCCTACTCGACCATCTACAGCGCGGGAGTAAGCACAACTCTAGACGAGCTTGGGATTTTACTGCGATGCTGACTTTCGTAGACCACCCCCGTAGCATCTGCAACGGCAACCGGTACCAATACTGCTGCAACCGCATCCGCCACCGCAACTGGATCCGGCTCGGCTGCGGCCGCTACCTCTACCTCCGAAGCAGACTCATCCGCCGGAGGTCTATCATCCGGTGCTGCCGCTGGCATCGGAGTGGGTGTCTCCCTCGCCGCAGTCGCCCTCATCGGCGCTGCAGTTTTCTTCTGGTGGCGTCGTAGGAAAGCTTCCAAGGGCGCCGCTGTTCCTCAAAGCGATCACCCCGAACTGGGAGGAGACCAGCCCGGCATGGCCAAGCTCAGCCCCGGCACCGTCAACTCGACCGTCGCCTCGTCTCCCAACACACCTCACAACGGCTACTACGGCCAGGAAGCCAAGACTCTTGGACATCTTCAGCCCCATGCTCACGCCACCGAGGCCGGTCACAACCCCATCTACGAAGCCCCCACATCCGAGACTCGCTACGAACTAGACTCCGGCCATACCCAAGGGGGCAATGGGCCAGCACAGTTAGACGACACGGCAAGACGATAAAGATGGGAGGCGTAGTAGTGGGGGTAATGACACAAGAATGGGTTGGAAATGGAGCAACAAGAAGGTTCAAGGCATTCGAGTCGGTCTTTATACCCTTCAATGCTGCTTGGAGACAGAAGCCAAGTGGTCGACCTTGAGAACTTGGTGCCAGGAGTTTGTAAAATTTACCGGGAATGAAAATAATGAGTGGCGAACCAAGGCCTGGTCTTTTGTATATAACTCTCGTTCTATCAAAAAGTTGACAACACGAATTAGCCTGATGACGGCCCGTCTTGTCTACGTGCATCGACTTCAACATCCGTCGCCCACGCGACCGTCCCAAGAGACTTCTCACCGCAGACTGCCAGCATTGGAGTTCGCACTATTTATCGTCATTGATACAACGCAATGGCTCCATTCACTATTATTATATGCGTTGCAAAGACACTCATGATCTACATGCAGCCAATTGATCCATGCCCTGAGAGACAGGTTAGGCTTCTTGAAGAACATCAAAGCAGTTGATCGCTACTTTCATGTCGTTGTAGCTCAACTCTTTCCAATGTGTTCCTCCACATGGATTGTCCTGACATTGTCGAACTCAATACCCTGGCCTTCAGGGCTTGGCATCACCTTCCCGCGTTTCGGGCCCATCTGATCTTGATCCATCGCAGATTGGATGTGGTTAGTCATGTAGACGGTGGGGTCCTCGACGAACAGGGAACAAAGTAAGGCGACTACACTGAAAGGGATGGTAATGTAGAAGACAATCTTGAAGGCATGTCCCGCCGCGGTGCGAACGGCCACCTTGAGTGCTTCCTGGATCTCTGGCGTGATGCTTGGGACGTTGAGCAGCGCTCGCGGGTTGCCCAAGTTGTACTCGATTGATGCTGGAATTATGATCCCAAGGTCTGCCGGGTTGAGTCCGTTGCCGATGGCGGCTGCAGCAATCTCTTCGCCTGCGAACTCACGGAATTTCTCCTGGAAGATGGTGTTGAAGATGGCGTTACCGACGGCACCTCCGCCAGATCTGAAAGTGCCGAGCAAGCCCATGGCGACACCTAAGTTCGAATGAGGCACGTGGAGACTTGCGATGGCGTAAGAGAGGATGGTAACCCAGACGAACATAGGTACCCCGAATGCCGGGACGAAGGCATACGCGAGCTTCTCGTTAGGATAGACGGTCGCGGCGCTTGCGCCGATGAAGAGCGCCTGGAGCGCCATGCCAATAACGAGTTGCCACTTGATGTAACCGACCTTGTGAGCGATGAGGGGTGCCAGCACACCAGTGAAGCCAATCATCAGGGTATTTGGAAGCGACAAGACCCCGATCTGAATGCCATCTGGGGTAAACATGTAGAGAGTTCCTTGGGGTAGTAGCGCAGACATAGCGTGGAAGTTCATTCCAGAGACAAAGAGAACAACCAGCAACACAGAGTATTGGCGGAACATGACAAACAGCTTCAAGGGGAACATCGGGTGTGCGGCAATCTTGAAGTCGTACCAAAAACCAAAGGCCAAGACTCCAAAGCCGACGACGATGGGAGCAATTGCACCGGCACTATTCCACGGGTATGCAGGTGTGCCGCCCCATGTCAGGCCGATGAGGGCCACGGCCAAACCTGTGGTGAACAGGAACAGGCCAATCCAATCGACATCGCGAAGCTGCTGCAGACGAGTCTTGTCGTAGTCGCCCCGCGGCCTGGCGGTGGGATGGTACGAAAATGCAGTGCCGATCAAACCGAGGACCTCGATGATGATGCCTAGGTAGAAGATCCAACGCCATGATGCATACTTCAGCAGAGCATTGCCGAGGAGGACGGAGAGGATGCCCCTGGATGGTTTCCAGAACGGTCAGCGTGCTTCCATCTTGGCTTTCATCGGCAGTAAGACTGGCAGTAGTGCCGTGCGGGGATTCTCCAAGTTCACGACAAAGAGGGTGTGGTGTTCGGTCGGCACGTCGCCTTTTTTTTCAGGTCGGCCACCAGAACTGGGTGCCGAAGATTTCCAGGAATCGAAACAGAGTTTCTGACTCAGGGAAAACGTTCGAACTATGCGACGCGGAAGACGGGAACGACAACAGGAAAAGGGTCATATGTTCGGACTCACCAGGGAACCGCGATGCCAGACTCTAATATGCCCAGGCCAAGAGATCGCCACTTGTTTGGGAGCATTTCGGGGACACCGGCGTACGAGACAAAAACGAAGCCAGTGCCGATGCCGATGAGAGTCTCGGCTGCGATGAGACTGGAAATGTTGTTGGCCGTGGCTGCGACGATGCATCCGACGGCGACAGTCGCCTGGCCGCCGAGTACCAGCAGCCTGCGGCCGAAAACGTCGCTGAGCGGTCCAGCGAGGGAAAAGGAACACGCCGTGGAAAGAGACCATGATCCCACAACCCAGGCCAGAGATTCCTGCCCACCGAGCTCGTTGGTGACTGGGACAACGATCGATGCAACTGCGAGGAAGGCGAGTCCGACAGCTGGGCCGAACGAGAAGGCCATAGACTACACAAGATGATCTATCAGCAGAAGATTCAAAGAGAAAGTTTGAGGGTTCGTACGAAGATTGCGATCCAAGTCTTGATGCTCACGCGCGCTTCCGCTGGATTGTCCTCCAAAGCGGCGCGATGAGGATCCTCCTCGTACTCAATAACCGCCTGGGCCTCTTGGGCCATGCGAATCTTCATCTCCCTATCGCGCCCCATCCTCGAAGACTCGTTGTAAGACATTTTGACGATGATGAGATCACGATAATTGAGGAATTGCGATCAAGAAACAGCGTAAACGTGTCACATTCCTCACATGCAGCTGCAAGTTCACGGACATGGCTCGAGCCTTTATTATAACCACTGAAGTGATCCAGACGATAGGCAATGATCCGAGCTCTGCTCCTGCGGGGAACACTCAAAAGCTTAATGATGAGCAATGGCACTTTGCAGTACGTGCCGTGTGATTGGGGACACCACGAGACGAGCGCCTGCCAGGGTTGATCGACTTTTCTGGATGCAACATGGCGGGGATTAAGCTGCCATCGACTAGCGCGGCGACGTCGTTCTTGGAGAGGAGGGGTCGGCAGATACGACTGCTGCAAAACCACGACTGTTACATGAAAACTTTCGTCAAATTAGCTTTCGTGCCGCGGACGGCAGCCGCGTTGGAGATTGGGTGGTTGGTCATGGCTTTTGTTGGCAATGTTGGCCATGTTGGAGTTGGATCGCATGGCACGTCAGGGGTGTTATTGGTTGATGCTGCCGTGGTAGCAGTTCAAGTCGGCATGGCGAGGGGCTTCAATGGGGTGCCGACTGCTGTTCTTGGTTACGCCATCCCGTCTTTCCCGAGCTAGGTTGCTGTGGTTGTGAGTAGCATTCGAGGGAGCCATGACACCCGTGTTGCTGAGTTTGGACAATCGCATTTTCCCAATGCAAATAAAGACCAGAAAGTCTAGGCTCTACAGACACCGGATTAGGCGTTGAAACTGAGTCAGTCTGATACCAAAGATTACTGTTGGTGTTGACAAAACCTGTGATAATACGAAAAGCCAGGCATCTGGGGTGGTTATGGCTTTGTTTCAACAATACCATATTGTAGTAAAGACCAATGTGGCCCTCTCATCAATACTAATGTTCTGGTTGAAAATTCGGAGGGTTAAAAGCCCAATTCCTATTCGTGCCAAACACTTCAATCATCTGGATCATCACGCAAAAGGGTCGCGATTTATAGGAAACAAGGAAAGTTTTTACATTAAATGCGTATCAGCGCCGTGTCAAACACCGCATGATACTGACTATGGAAATACAAAATCCAGATAAAGAAAGACCCCTAGAACCCCAGTGTTGAAACCAGCAACCATTAACCCTCTTCCTCCAGTACAATTTAGCTCCTAGCTCCCAGCTCCTGCTCTCCAAACGCCAGCGCTCTTAGTGTAAGAGAAAGTCTCCGAATTAGGCGGCGAAAGCCATAGCTCGCTTGGGGGCGGCGGGCTTGGGAGCGGCAGGCGCAGGCGCCGGGGCACCAGGTGCTGCGGGAGCAGCGGGGGCTGCAGGTCCGGCGGGCTTCGGTGCGGGAGCCTTGGGTGCGGCGGGAGTTGTGGCTGCCGGGGCAGCTCCGGGAGCAGTAGCGTTGGGAACAGGAGTGGCAGGCTTAGGAGCGCCGGCAGCGGCGCCAGCGGCAGGAGCTGGAGCAACACCCGCAGCTGGGACCGGGGCGGCTCCGGCAGCCGGAGGTGGGGCCACGGCGTCGGGCTGCTCGGCCTCAGCGGGCTTCTTGCCCTTCTTACCCTTCTTGCCCTTCTTGCCCTTCTTTCCCTTCTTGCCCTTCTTCTTCTTCTTCTTGCCCTGAGCGTCGACTTCGCCATCGTCCTCGACATCATCTTCCTCGAAGGCCTCCTCTTCCCACTCATCCATCTCATTCTCATCTTCGGGTTGAGGGGCCGGAGTCAGAGCCGAAGGAGGCGGGACTTGGCGGCCGGCAAGATCGGAGATCGCCATATCACTGTGTAGATAGGTAAGATTCATGTCGACGAATTAAGGATGAAGGTATGATTGCTTACGTGAAAGTGTTGTCTTCATCGTTGGAGACAGAGACAGGAAGAGCGTTGATGCTGACCGCCAGGGCCGACAAGGCGATGATAGAGTTGAAGAACTTCATTTTGAAGAGATGAGAAGTTAGTTTCGAAAGACCGAGTGTGGAATAGAAAGAAGAGTAGATGATTGAAGTGAAGTGTGAAGTAGTAGATGGTAGAAGTGAAGAGTGAAGTGTGTGATGATGAGAGAAAAGAGAAGTGATATAGACAAGATATTCGCCATGATTTTATATCACTTTGCTCGTAGGAAGTAACATGGAGATTATCGTAACGAACCACACCTATACCGACCGTTTGCTGTCAAAGCATGTCGCCGGTTCCTCGGTGACGTGAGCCTCAATCATCTCAAATCAATTCATGAAAGACTTTCGGGGCTCCGCAATTGCACCATAACTCAATCAGGGAGTGCAAACCGAGACCCGGATGCTCCGTGTGGG